CTTTTTTTTTTTTTTTTGATAAGGTGTTCTCCCCTTCCTTTATCAATGTCTTTCTTCCTCTAAATATCTAAATTTCGTAGCATCCACGCAACTACACTAATTCTCTTCTAGTTTCTGGAAATAATTGTTCCTGTCTCATCTTCTAATTTCTTTTTAACTTTTTTCTCCTATTTTCTCAAACTCAAATTTTGTTTCACTTTGGATTGATCACTAGCTGACATTTTCCTTTAATAGGTTGTTGTGGATGCATGTTGTTATTCCATTTTATCTCTCATTTTTCTTTTCTAATTTTTTGTACCAATTAACTCTGCATCTGCACCCAAAAAGAAAGGGTAAGTAAAGAAAAGAGAAAATATCATGGGATTAGGGTTGATCTAAATACCACTCCCTTAAAATGGACAAGTAATTTAGAGATCACTATTCTGAACTTCTCTTTCGTACATGTATGAAAATTTACAAAGGGCATGATTTCTTCTGTCTCTTTTCTTCTTGAACTCAAAGAAGAGTGTTTGATCTCTTCTGGCTAGCTATGCAAAAGAGTGCTTGAAAATTTAAAATCTTCTACATATAGATCGATTAATAATGAAGGCATTTATAGAGCACTATATAGGAAGGAAAAAATTTATGATACTAGTAATATTGCTGGAAGTCATATAATTTGTTCCATGTAGTCATAATTATAGTTCATTTGTTTCGTTCGATCTATTTTTCTATATAAATTGAAAAGGCAAATAATTCGAATTGAAGCCTAAGGTTGATCAAATCGACCAAATGTTTACCTTATTATTTGGACTATGTGCATAGTAACACTTTAATGTTCAAAAAAATATCGGACCGGCAACCTCCAAATCTTGGATCCGCCTCTGATATCTCACCAAGGACAAGACACGACGCTTCTTACCATAAAGCTAAGATCATTCAATCCATTACATAATCTGACCAAGGGAATTTAATCCTTGATATAGAGGAGACAATAGTTGAGGACCAAATCAAAATGATTAAACTTGACATGCAATGGCTGACATATCACACTACTATGACTCCTCAAGACCACCCCAGCAACCCACTTCCCGCAAAAGTAAAATTGATATAAAGGAAGTCTTGACAGAGACAATTTGGTATGTGATGTATCACTGGCCACAGGTGAAAAATGATGCATAAGAGGCTTATATACTAAAGTTCAACCAATCACTAGAACTAGGCCGTTCATATATGCTACCCAAGGCTTTACGAGGTTCAACAAATGCTTTGCCCTTTTACGCGGTAGTATACTGGCAACAGTTCTTATTAGACATGCAAGTGCAATTTGAATGCATTACACGCTTCAGCCACAAGCAAACTAACATCTCTTCAGTTAAACCTTGTTAAAGCAAGAAGACTAACTCGCACAAATTGTCCTGTTATTTTTCTTTCTTTTTAACTGGTTGTGGTGTCCGAATAAGCTTGCATGTACCTCGACAAAGCGTCCCTAACAAAGTTCAATTACTTTGCCTATTTTGTCTATACAGGTGAAGCATGCATCAATCTTGCCAATTCTTGCTACAAGGAGAAGACAAAGTAATAGCCCTTAGTTACTGAAATAGTTAGGTGAAGCAAAGTTGTGGTTGTGTGCCCAAAACAATACAGATTAGGCCAAGAACAACAGAAATTATAGTTGAAGCAGGAAAATCAGAAATCATAAAAGAATCAAACAAAGAATCAATTTTTATTAGCCAAAAGCAAAATAAACAAGAATTTTTTTTTAAAAAAAAATAAGCAAAATGGAAGATTAAGCAAGAAAGCACCTTCTCTTTCTTTCCTTTTCTGAATTCCACCTTCCATCCAGCAGGAAGCCAATCAGGCAAAGACCTTTTCTTTTCCATCTCACAATCCCACCTAAATTAACCACTTACCCAACAATTTTAATTCGATCTCCAAATAAAACCCCCAACAACAAAAGAAAACAAAATAAAGATGCCTTCTTTTTTACTTGTCCTGAAAAGTCAAGAACGCTCCAACCCCTTTTACAAAGTGTGAATATGGGTAGAACGAAGGCTGCAAGACTCCACTATGTGTCATGTCTACTCTTTCTTTGACTCAACAGAGTATAAAGTGATGAGTAGAGGAAATAGGGTCATAATGGGGGAGGGAGGGTGGTGGGGTTGGGGTTAGGGGATGGAGAATCGGACAAATAGCATCACAACCACGTGTTTGCCAAACTTGTTCGGTTTGAAAACTTGCAATTCGAGGTAAACCAAACGTTCTTTATGATGATTTTTTAATCCTATCTTTCTACTTCTTTTTCTTCGTTTTGGTTTTAATAGTGTGTTCTCTCCTCTCTTTTATTTTTTTGACACCTCAAATGTGCAAGTGGCAGTTGGACAATGAAAAAAAAAACTCAGAAAGTTACTGGTAGGTGGAATTTCCTTGTTCTACATTTCATCTTTTTTATTTTTCTTATTATATTTGGCATTTTTCCTGGCTCCATTAACGCGCTGTCGGAGTTAGTGGACGGTGGTTGGAAATTTCAGTCTTTAGACTCCCCATACTAATCAGATGTGTGGCTTTAGGTTTGGTATTTAATTCATTTTTTAAATATATAAAAAAAGCACAAAGAAAAAAGTATCAAAGAAGTAAAATAGGGATTCAAGTTTAATGAAACCAATTTATTTTTGAACGAATTCGGGGCATGGTTCTGATTTAGTCAAAAGCCAAGTCTCATTCTTTTACCTTTTTTACGATTCACTGGCAAAAAAGGAAAGGGGCAATAGAAAAGAAATTAGAGTACTTCTTCTTCCGTGTGTTTTAGATACTTAATAAATGTTAAACAAATTAGTACATACTATTGATATTAAAAAGAAATTAATCGAAGATTGACCTGCTAAATAGCGATACTGGCACTCTTTAGCAGAGTATTTCAGCAACCGGGGCTAAAGCCCGGACAGAAATGGAGTAGTCCATTAGGCTGCTATCTAGGTACGTTGAAGTTGAAGGGATTACACAGTGTCCCCTACAGTCCAAGCTCGTCTAGAATCATCCATAGTAGAATAATAAATGGTGGGGTCCCCAAGAGAATAAATTACAAAGAACAATTACTACAACTTCCATATTTTAGCGTGCCGGTAATGGAGTTCTCTACTACAGTACAGTATATATTTTATTTTCCTCTTGTTAGTTCGTCCTCTATTAATGGGGCACAAATTAATGGCCATGCACCTTCACCTAGGGCTTGATTTAGGGTGGCATTCTTGGAATACTAGTTAATATTTTAAATGAAATAACTATTTTTATTGACAAATCTTTAATATAAATAAAGTTCACGTTTAAAAGTTCTTTTTTGTTCAAATCCAACCAAACGTTGTTCCAAATGTCTAACAGCCGACTTCGTTTTGGGTCTAGACTAGTGGGCTGGACTGTTATATATGGTATTAAAATCACGAGGAATTTACATGGAATACAATCTTTGTAAGACTTATTTAAATTCCCTATAACTACTTTTACAAAATTACATCTAATACAATTTATTTTAAAATTTTACCTTTTAATTAAATTATATACAAATTTTCATATCCTAAAATCTCTCTCTTAAAATTTTCAGAATATCTCTCTCAAGATTATCTCTCACCTAAAACCATTTACTATATCAATTTTTCGTCTAATTTCTCCATTAATTAATACTTTGTTATATCCCAATGTCCCGGACCTCCTTTTCCCTTTTCTACTATATCAGCCGTCCCATATATACTATATCACCATATTTATGTATAGTTTATTATATATATACATATAATATATCTAATATATATACTATAGATATAATATACTGATAATATAATATATATTACTATAGCTATAGTGTACTAATAGGATTAATATATATTTGGTATAGTATACGAATATAAATAATAAATGTGATATATTAGTGCTAATATAAATAATATATATTAGGTATACTATACGTATGCAAATAGATTATGTTATATATTACTCCAAATGTAAAACAAATAATGATGACGTATATTAAGTATACTAAACGTACAAATAATATGTGTTGGACATTATCCAAATATAAAAAGGTATATAGATGCTGTATTTGTGTGTGCATACATATTTGAGGTAATATTGACTCATATTGGAATCAAAGAATTTTTTTAATTGAAAAGTGGAGTTTGGTCAAAGCCAATATACCATCAATACTATACCTTGTATAAAATGACTGAAAGTTACACTTCTAGGAACAAAAAGAAAAAAATATACGAGGATATCCTATAGTCGAAGGAGAAGAGGATATTGGAGAAGGAGATTGTTTAGGAAATAATTAATTGCATTTTATATTGATTTGCTTTTTGTTACCCTAAATAAGGATAGTCCCTTACTTTTTGGTGTTTGTTTTTAGTTGGAGATTGCATTAATATGGGATACTTTTAAAACTAGTTCCTAATTTATAGGAAATCTACCGTAGAATATGTTTGAGGGATATAACATTTACTATGTTTATGTTGTAGAATATGTTATTGATAATAGGCTATATAGTTGTTAGTTACACCATAATTGTCCATGCTTTATTGTTGTTTTATAATGTAAGTTGTCGATAAAATGCTTTAATTAATGCTATTTGGTTTCGCAGGGAATATAAGATGTGAGGAAGCAACATGAAGTGTTTAGAGGCAATAACGTGAAGAAAACACCTCACTCAAGAAGTACCCAAACACAAAAGAGCAAAAAGAGAAAGAACGCGGAGACAAAAAGGCCCAGCACACGCACTGCGGTTGGAGGCAGTGTTCTCCGCGGTCAGCGCCGCGGTCGACGCCGCGGCGGCATGTTCACAGCCCAGAATTTAAGGGGCCAAAGTGTCAATTCGGGAAAACTTTTGTAAAACCCTTATAAGATGTAGGAAACTCGCCCAAGAAGAGGGAGCTTATTTTGAGATTATTTTGGCAAGAAGAACAAGTGTGAGAGATCACCCAAAACATCATAGTTCTTATTCTCTTCTAATTTTCTTGCAATTTTNTATAGACGAGAGTCATAACCGAGGGTTTAGAGATTGGATTAGAGATAACGATATCTCGGGTGCAATCTAAAAGAACGGTAATGTGAATCTAACTAGCGTAGCTTGAGAGAGTACGTCTAATAAATTATCATATTGCTTGAGAGAGATTTATGATAGCCGGATAGTTATTGATTGATAGAGACAACTAAGGCATCGCTATAAGAAACGTACAACCAAGGAAATCACCAACGGAAGAAACTATTACCTTAGACCTTATTCCAACTGTTTACACATCAAGCATAGTTAATTTTTAGCTGTTAATTATTTTCGGACTTTAGTTGTTAGAAATATCATTAATTGTGAATTACAAAGTTTGGGGAAAATTGATTTTGTGAATTTAGTAAATCAGTCAATAGTAATTGATAGGTTAATTCTATGTGGTTCGACTCTGGGCAGAACTACTCAGATTATATTTGCTACGTCCGTGTGTGTCTTTGTATAAGCCATACTTTGGCGTTATCAAATTTTGGCGTCGTTGCCGGGGAATTAACGGTGTTATCAATTACAATTAAGAGAAGTACACAAATTTTAAGTGTAGTCAGTTTTCTCTATACCCAATATTTTCATTGAAATTCTAACATATGAACTCTTGTGGAAAGCAGGTGTATGCCTAGAAGTTCTTTGAGGACTGGAGAACTGCTAGAAGGACTCTCAGACCCCGAGAAAACATTCAGGGCATTGAACCGTGCCAACAAAAGACTTCAACAATCACACCAACTCGAATTTGACATGGGTGACGTAGATAACGTCAACGGAAACGTCAGGAATGAGCCAGCTGAATTAAATGTCAGAAGAGTGGCACCTCTTGTGCCCGAAGCTGCACTTTATGACTGGGCACAAACCACAGCTGATAATATGGCAACTGCCATAGCTATGCCCGCAATTCAAGCGGAGACATTCCAGATCACCAACAACATGCTGCATCTGCTGCAGAATAAATGACCGTTCTCCGAGTCACACATTAAAGACCCGCAACAACATTTGAAGAATTTTTTGTCAATTTGTATGACCCAAAGGCAGCCAAATGCAACTCCGGAAGCTATCAAGCTGCTATTGTTTCCATTCTCGGTAATCGGGGAAGTTCAGACTTGGCTACATTCGCTCCATATCAACTCTATTACCGCCTCGGAGGAATTAGTCAAGTAGTTCCTGAACAAGTTTTATCCGCCTAACAAGACTACAAAACAGATTGATGACATATTGCAGTATAGGCAGCAGCCCTCT